GGGGGTTTGGGCGCCGCTCCCGTGCAGCCGCTGCTGCCCGCTGTAGGCTGGCTCTAAGAAGTCTGATAAGGGCAGGTTTGCCCCGATGGGCACAGGTGGGGCACAGCCAGGCTTTACCGCATGTGTAGGGGCTACTGCGCGGCACCTATACATTCCATATCCCCCTGGCAGGTGCACAACAGCCCTTGCTGCCCTCCAGTACTGCGGCAGCCCCTGCAGCCCAGCTGCACGAGGTGCTGTACAGCCCCACCAGGTCGAGCTGGCACCTTGCTACTTCACAGCACTGCAGGTGCAGACCCTGCTCTGTGGCATCCGTGTCGTAGCTGCTCTGATTGCCCCAATCACCGCCTTTCACTCTCATTTTCCCCTCACTGCTCCCAAGGGAGGCTATGTCATGGTAAATTGGGCAAGGTTGTGGGGGTAATTGCTTTTGTTAGACCAACTGATAGAGAATGCGGAAAAAAATAGACGAGCCGTTGGGCGCACCAGCCCTTGTTCAGAGCACTGCAGCGTAGCACAGCCAAGCAAGCGTCCAGCTTGCTGCACTGCATCCTTGGGTGGTGGTGGTGCTGCTTCTTCAGGATCTTCCCATGCCAGGGACTTGGTGCTGGGATGTTCTAAGGAGGCAGGGCTCTGCCTCAGAGCTCCGTTTTTCCCTCAAACCCAGAGCACATGCGGGCTGGTCATGTCAGGAACCACTTGCAAGCATCTTTGACTTGGGGACAGCTTGGGAGCAGGGCTGGGTGCTGCACAGGGGAGGGAAAGGGCCATCCTGGGATGGTGATGTCGGGGGGCTGAGCCTGCCTGTGGAGGGCAGGAGGTACCCACTGGTTTTTGGGACACTGCAAAGTGCCTGCTGACCGCCCTGAAGGATGCCATGGGCTGGTGGCTGGAGGGTGCAGAGATGTGCTGGGGGGAGGCCAGCCCCTGACAGTGGCTGGCTGTATTAATATGGGGTCTCTGGGCCCTGTGTTGGGTGTTACAGACAGGAGGGACTTTACGCCCGGTGAGTCCGGCAGCTTTTTGCTGTAACGGTCTGCTGTCTTTCCGCACAAGGCAGCAGCTGTGCTGCAGCCATGTCTTGCTGCACCGGCTCCCTTGGGAAATGCCTTCTGGCAGGTGACTTCGGCAGCCACCCACGCGTGTTTGCCCATGGCTGCTCTTTCTGAGGTGGCCCTGGCAAAGAGGGCAGCGCGCTCAGCACCGTCGGCAGCTCCTGGCCCAGGCTGCGGGGCAGTCATTCTTGGCACGGCGATGGAGCTGCATGGAGAAGGGAGCAGCAACTTTCCTCACGTTGCTTCTGTGATGAGAGAGCTACCAGGGCACTTTGGCACATCCTGTCTTTCATTCTCTCTGGTGGCAGCAGAGCCAGCAGGCCCCTAGCAGGGGGGCATCCTTGGCACGGTGTGGCTCCAGCTCCTGGATTTCCTGCACGCCTGATGGCAGAGGGCCTGAGGGAAAAGCTCTGAGTGTAAGACCACAGGGAAACCTCTCTTCTCACCCCATAAGAGAGGAGAGATGGTCAGCGCTGCCTCCCCTCCGTACCCCAGTGCTCGGGGCAGAGGGTGGTGGGGTGGGCTGTGTGTGCATCAGCACACCTGGAGGAAATGGCCAAGCCAGGGGCGAAGGTGGGCGGTGGGTCGCAATGCTCAGCTCTCGCCCCACTGCTTCGAGCCCCCTCCCTGAAGCCCAGCTGCAGCAAAGCAAGCAATGCAGG